ACTTCTTGGCTAGACGTTGTAGATTTCACTTTCAGATAATTTGATTTCTTTAGACGATATTTTAACCATATCCCCATTTCCCGATAGATCAAATATCGTAAAATATATATTTAAAACAGGGACATGAACCCAGGAAAAGAAAGAAAAAAAAGAGTTTTTATGCGTTTGCAACTTTACAAGTGATTTACATAAAAATCAAAACAATTCGACTATCTGGACTATGGTTCTAAGACAGCGTAACATGAATTTTTTGCAACGTTTTGACAATAGAGTAGTTWAACTTYGAGTTTAGGATAATGTTATGTGTATTTAACACAAGACAGCGAAAACTTGAGTGATTCGTACCGTCTAGTTACATGTTATTGAACTACTAATTTGCATATTGCATGCTCTATTTTGCTATAAACGCTAAAATGTTCGAGGATGCTATAGATAATACAGATAAAAAGCGCAAAATGTTTTTATAGATCCAGTTTCACCATCCTTAGAAGAGTAGATTGCACTACTTTTTTTCGAAAATCCGTTCTGGACTTGGCAGATAAAAGCCAATATGTAAAGKGTAGTTTTTCKTATTTCAGAAAAGACGTCAAGTGGGTGTCGTTAAATATTTTTCTTCTTTCCCCGGTTAATCTTAATATTCAAAATTTTGCGTGCTTTTTATACCTGAAGGATTGTTAAAGTCAGAGAAAATACCAATTTGTTCCAGAGTTTCATATGTTACGAGCTATGACAGTTTGAATTTGTGCAATTTTCAGTTCACGAACAATGCAAATTAGGTGACGAAGGTGGTCTTGAGATTATCGGGCGTAAAAAAATTATTTTGACGAATTTCGAAAAAAGAAAGCCACTGTGRTYACATACTTATAATTGCCTTTTGATGGTAGGAGTTTGAGAGAAATTTATTTTCTGACCCGAAATGCAGTAGACCGCTTTTACAGAGACTGCCTCTTAAGGATTTAGGAAATTAAGAATACATTAAAAGACAAAGCATGACCACTAAAGCCGAACACTTTCTTTTGTTTTTTAATTAATTCCTAAATAGTAAAAGTTCTTTTTCTTGGACAACGTTTGTGTAATYTGGTGTATATCATTGTAAGCTTTTTTGAAAAAAAAACTAAAACAATGAAAAAATAACAATCAATAACTATGTTTGAGATACCTGGAAGTTATGGAACCATCAAGATTAAGTACACCACTCACAGATATGTTTACTTTTCCACCACCTCTTCCACCATAACAACTGGGTGTTTTCCATTCAGCACGACCTGCCTCTCCATACAAAATTGGTAAATAAGGAGAGTCGAATGGTTCTGGTCTTTGCTTGGACCACCAACTACTTCCGCCGTATCCAGKACCAAGACCACCATATCCTGCATGACTTCCGCCAGAGCCAGCATTGTATCGATTAAAAGACTTGCATTTAGAGCCTTGTCCATCCAACTTGATGATCCCTTCCTTTTGAACGTCAATATCTTTTGCGACAAGAGTAAAATTCTGACCCTCTATTGTTCCCCCTGCATGCACAGCAAGATTGCCAACACTTAACTTGTATTCTTCAGATGTATCCAGAAGTCTCAGAGAAGCGCCATCAAGTAAAGTCATCGAGTTGAAATAAAARCGGCGGGTTTTTAAAGTTCCCTTTGTTGTGGAACCACCATTTCTTCCAAAACTAACAAGACAGCTTGAAATCTTGAGTTCTTGAGTACCAAGCAAGTGCCCATTAAGCGAAAGAGAGTTCTTGTGAAGCATAACACTCGGAGGGAGTTTTAAAAATCCATTTTCATAGATCTTTAAGTTTATTGGTATGTAAAAATCTGTGTTCTCAACCTCGACAAGCTGACTTGGACCAGTATGCAAGAATCCATAGCTACCTCCCTCAAAAGTGCCAGTAACTTTTCCAAATGTATGCAAACGAAGATTCCCACGATGTAATTCTGGTTCTATAGCAAGATGGGATCCACCACCAAGCATCAGTTCATCAACCATGAAACCTTCGTAAATGACAGAACCAAAATCAAAATCTTTCAAGTTAACACGATTGGGATTCGGTTTCATTGAAGAAGAAGTAATCCAAGTTCTTGCGGCATCAATGGACAAGCTACCATAGCTCTCAATCTCCTCTTTACTTGGCTTTCTTCCTTTGTTGGCGATGGTTAGAATGGAATAGTTTCCAGTTGTGTCTTCCAGATAAACTGTGCCTGCTGCACCAGCTTCTATAACGGAATCCCCACCAAAGGTAGTGATAGTTCCCTTGAAGTCAGACCGCTTGTAGTACATTGCAATACGACCTCCACTACCTCCACCTCCACCATTATTTCCACCAGTACCCCCATTAGCTTGAACAGTACCAGATCCCTCCTGATAAATGCTCTCAATAAGAATACTTCCACCACTTCCACCTCCAGAAGAACCTGTCTTTCCACTAGCACCGTCTGCTTCTATACTGCCATCTAGAATTATTTTTTCAGATCTGATATATAACACTCCTCCTCCTGGAGCACTTCCGCCTCCACCACTGCTTCCATACATCATTGGTCGTTTAACATTTCCGTAAAATGCACCAGTGTTTTTCTGTGATCTCCCTTGCCCACCGCGTCCTCCATGTCCCGCACCAGATGATCCAGAAGATTGGGAACTTCCCCTACCGATTCCAGAGCCATTTTTAAACCCCTTGGAGCAAAAATTGAAATAAGTTAAGTTGTAAAATGTATTAAAAAGCATGTTAATCAATTAAAAACATACCTGGAAATTCAAGTCTATCAGGCCTGACTGCTCAATGTTTACTGACAATGCATCAAGTTTCAGACGATCTGCACGAAGCTGTCCACCACTACGTAWCCAAAGAGAAGTACAAATAACGGAAAGTCCATCGACGTCACTTTGGATTTCAATTTCGCCACCGCCCTGGATTTCTATTGTTCCAAAGCGGATAATACGCGATTTGTTGCCATCAGGTGCAGTTAGTTCTCTATTTGAATACAAATAAAGACATAAACATCAATTAGAAAAATCTAACAATATACACCTACTTGCGAAAACGTTGTCATAAAAAATAGGACTTTTGTATTTAGTAAAAAAGGAATAATTAAAAAGACAAAAGAAGATCACTGAGGCTGAATGCTTTCTTTTGTCTTGTTTTGATTTATTCCTTTTAACTAAATACGAATGTTCTATTTTCTATGACAACGTTTCTGCAAGTAGGTGTATATCCATAACATAATTTTTATAATTTAGAAAACACTGAAAGTCCAATCAGGATCTCATAAAATTAAATCCGTAAGACGGATAAAAACAGCGATGACAGAACTGATTACTCATTCGAACACACAAACAAAGGGAATGAAAAACAATTGAAATTATACCTCAAAATGAGTCTGCCTTTATTTCCAACTACGACGTTATGCGCCCCACTAACACTTCCTGAAGTGATCATCTTAATGCCGTCAATAAAAAGATTTTGAGGGAGCTTCACATCCGCACGACTATATGCATTAACTCCCCATAAAAGGTCAGGCTGTTTATTTTCATCTAAGATCAGTTGAAGGCGCTGGTTTTCAAATACGTGCAAAATTCCTGATCTATCCCCTTTTATTCCTCGTACATCCCACTGGATAGGAGATTTTTCAGGGCTTGTGATAACAGCCAGTTGAGATARRCCTCGAATTTCAACATCACTATAGGAAATAAGGCGCGTGCCAGCRTTTGGAGTTATCCATGTCCTTCCACCATCTGTTTTTAAATCAGTTATATCATCGCTTGGTGGTTTTCCGATGTTATTATTATTAACTATAAGGTGCGTTTTGTTTTTTCCAATATCTTGTATGTATATGGTACCGGCTCCACCTACACCAGTGCGACTTGAACCACCATAGGTTTGCAATGAACCACTAAAAGAACTGTTTTTATAATTTATGGACATTCTTCCTCCTCCGCCGCCACCTCCATTCCCACTTGAAAATACTCCATTTCCACCAGATGCAGTGACATCTCCGTTTCCAATAAAAACAGCTGATTTCAACCAAACACTTCCACCACTAGCCCCTCCACTATTCAATGCTTTGCTTGGCTCCCCATTTGCTGTAATACTTCCGTCCACAGTTAGATTTACCAAAGAAACAATTTTAATGATTCCCCCGCCACCTGAAGAAGAACTCCCACTTCCAAATGTTTGAGGTTGCTCTACAGATCCATATGCAAGCCCGGGTATTGATGATTTGATGCCAATCCCACCTCTACCACCATGGCTTGCACCTGCAGAATCTAACAATATAAATTCGYTTGTTTAGTCTACGAAATAAAACATCATATGAACATTATCTGAATAATCTCAGCCTCTGATAATGAGAAAATGATAAATTAACAGCAAAAATGATGAAAATTGAATAAAGACTGTTGTTGGCACCTGATGTAAAGCCGCTTCCTTGTTTTGCAAGACTACCTATAGCATCAGCAGATATAGCACCCGATGACTCGACAGTTACTGTTCTTGCCAGAACATCCAACCATTTGCATTTCAATAGGCCACCAGCTAGAACAGTCARACTTTCGTTCACTTTCAGACGAAGTGTTGCCGAACTACTGTCATTCGAGCTTGCTGTGAGGGTTGCTTGGTCCATTACAGAAAGTGTTTTCATTTGCAAAGTCTTGTCCTGCAATCCAGGTGATCGTCCCTAATATGAAAAAAGGACATTGAACTATACAACAACCGTATACAGCTACTTCAGAAAACGCTGAAAAAACTACAGAGTACACTGCAACACAACATTGGGTTATTGCGATTAAACTCCAAATTAGCTACGACATTTCTTAGCTTTGAAATTCTTGACTATATGGAGCTGGTAAAGCCACGGTCTTTCTCCCGGTGGCATTTAAACCGGCGTAAGAAARTAAAGCACACAACAAAAAGTATACAACATATATAACATACATATCAATATAACAAGGTAGTCTTACCCCGTCCAWTACGGTAACTACAGTTCCTTTTCCTATATGCCAGTCTGTAAGACCACTAATAATTCCCTCGACGCTGATCTGAGGATAGTACAAATTCTTCAGAAGCATAACAGGTGGCACATGAAAAAACCCTCGTTGATATATYCGGAAACTAGATGGGAACTGTGTCGGCGCTGAGTTGATGTAGAGTTTCTGTCCAACACCTACATGAAGCATCCCTCCGAGATCGCCTTCTAGATGATTGACAGTCAAAGTAATTGCACAATCGCAACCTACACATGCACATTTTCCTTTATGTCTCAAGGCGAGATGTGCACCACCTTTTAGCACCATTCGATCAATGACAAAGTTCTTGCTATAATCAACAAATAACCATGCACGGCCACCATCTTTGGAAATGTCCTGAAAATCTGATATATACAGATTCGCAGTTCGGTAACCATTGTTGTCAATAATGACTGCAACGTTGGTATTGTTTTCTGCAAGATAGACAGGGCCTGGACCACCAGGTTCTGTTCGACTGAATCCTCCATGAGTTTTAAACATTCCGTTAAATCGGGTCGTTTCGTAGCTTACTGATATCTGTCCACCACCACCACCGCCAGCATCCTTGAAACTAGAATTAACTACTGCACCCCCAGTAGCAAGTAGCTTCCCTTTGCCCGTAAAAAGCTTACTATTGATGAAAATACTTCCCCCGCTTCCACCGCCAGTGCCTGGATAAACAGCAGAACCAGCCGACACGTCAATAACACCGTCGTTCTGAACTAGACCTGACGCATTGATCGTTATGACGCCACCACCAGAACTTCCAGGCTGGTGATGAAAAAAAGCAAATAATTGAAAAAACTCAGAAGGTGATCTAAGGATGCTTAGCAATAAATATGCAATCTGTAACTGTTGTCGTTCAAGTTTGCACAGTGGGTATGTGCTGAGTTGATTTAATAAGTTCATTCTACTGATAATTCTACTGATAAGATGACGTTTTTGTTTTCGTAAGCTTTTCTTGTTTATTTGTTAGTTTTCTTAATTGCTTTTGCTTTTGTTGCTTTTGAATGCTGTTTATAACGTCCGTATGTTCTTTCGTTGTTTTAGCAGCATAAACTAGCTGTGAGTAATGTCTTCAAATCATTCAAGGGCCGTAGAGTTTACAATGGTTTTTTTCCATTGATGCCGTGTTCATTTTCAGTACCAGAATCCTGATTTCAATTTTTTTAGAAATATTTTTTATTCAGTATTAGCGTGATAATAGAATATTCCATAACGATCAGTGTTCTTACTTTTTGACTTTAGCATTATTTATTATTAGATTATCGATGCAATCAAACGTTAGGAAACATCTCGAAAAGGATTGGGATAACGAAAAGATGCCGGCCTAAGGGCTTCAGGCAATAGGAGAAACCATTTTTTTTATAAATTAATACTGCTTATTACCATCAAATGATTAAATAACAAATAAGATTAATCGAACAACATACCAGATTTCTATAACCTTGACCACCGCCACTCCCAGGATCTAACGGTTTGTCAAACTCGCCGTATGCCTTCCCAACTACCGCTTGACTTCCTCGACCTCCAGCACCACCATGACCCGCACCAGACCCACTTAAAGCAGATGATTTACCAGGTTCTTTTCCTTCTCCACATCGGTAGCCCCTTTCACGCGCAGTAAGCAATGCACCACCATCGATGTATACATCCGATGCCTCTAAAGAAAGCATGCTCAATGACATTGTGCCACCAGCAGTGATCGTCAACGACTGTTTGAGGTCAACCTTGAGTTCAGTGGGACTTGAAATGGACTGATGGAAGACACCTCCATTGAGAATCGTAAGAGACTTTAACGAGATGGTCCCTTTATCTTGAGAGTTGACATGGGCCATAGGTGTAACGTCAAATTTTCCATCGTAAGATATAATGACGTCTTCGATTCCTCTTGACAATGATTCGCTGTATATACTTGATCTTTGTAAGTAAACCTCGCTTGGAAAATCCACTAAAGAGTCCTATTTGAAAATATGAACATGATGGCACTGAGAAATTTTATTACATAACGCATTTCAGCTACTATTTACTTACGTAAATGTAATCAATCTAATATATATAATATATATAATATATAAGTCAACATTTAACTGTATGACTTGACTTACTTGATAGGCACGGATGGTCATGGGAATGACCGAGTTATTATTTGAGGATATATCCAAATTCTGTTCGCTACCGATGTGCAGCGTACCAGTAAAGTCCCCTTTATATTCATGCACTGACAATCCAAATTTCGATGACTCGCTTTGAATGGCCAAGTGAGCCTTTCCACGAACATCTAGTATATCTAGGTAAGATGAAGGCTGTACTCCATCAACAACCACCCATGTCCTGGGTCCATCTTGCTTTAAATTATTACTTGAAAACGGGMTGGGGTTATCCTGTCCGATAAATAGCTCCAATTCACCTAGCGTAATGTACGTTCCCAGTTTGCGCATCGTCAGCGTGAAACCGTCAAATGTTCCATTCATTGAAGTGTCATCATAGATTCCAGTATCAAAACATCCAGCAAATGATTGGCCACCAAACACTTGGGGTTTCTTCTCATTCACACGTGTGGCTGTAATTGTGTAGGAGATGCGGTGCCCGTCATGGCAGTACTATGAGAAAGATTAAAACCAATATATAAAGTAAACAACTTGTCTAAGGAAGGAGGTCAGTTTGCATAGCTTGAAAGAGACATCATCATCAATAAAAAAATTAACTTTTGCGCTTTGCATTCCAATTATAGTGTTTTACGAMATTTTTGATTCACTTTTGTATTCACTGATGTATTCACTTTTAATTTATTGAAAAATAGCAGGGGGGGKTTTAAGAAAGAAAAAAATGAAAGAAAACTGATTTCCTGCCGATGACGATGGCACCTAGAAAAGTCAAAAGCATTGCGTTTTACTATAGAATATAATATGTGTTAATCTCCGCCGCGTACCTAATCTAATAGTGTTGACGCTTATGAGTTTCAAAACTTTAATATAGGTTTATAGTGTAACCGCGAGCTGCAACCGTTTGGTACAATCAATTACCAATTCTTGCATGTGATATGCAACATTTTCAAGTACGGCTAATCGAAAACAAATTCTCCTTGAATGTTAAAAACTTAACCATATTCTGCTGTTCGCCGCTAGATTCTCATTATTTCTTGTTTACATCTGTTGAGTAAAGAGTTTGTCTACGTATGCGTTTCGCTTAAACTTTTTAAATAATACTCTTTTGACTGACAAAAATAAAACAGTATTCGTGTCATATGATCATTAAATCAAAATGTTAATGCATATTTTGAAATCTTTTTTTCATGTACTACATTGTCAGTTTATTTGAGGAGAATCGAGTAGGATAAACTCGATCAAACCGCCGTTTAAAAGCGTTCAGTGTGGAAGGGTGCGAACAGGTATAAAAACACTTTAATAGRTGTAAGTATACAGACGAGTTCTATATTATACGAATCACGGCGCCATGCTTAGCATAACTATCATTTAAAAATGATTACATAGAAAAGGCATCCCAGCTACGTAACAGCACGTTCAAGGCAAGAAAGTCAAAATCTGCTCTAGTGAAATAGACAAAAGTACAGTTAATGCAAAAGTTTGTTAATAACATTAAACAAGATTTTTTTCCTACCGGATAAATCCTTATATGGTGTATGAACATTGGCCTAGGCAACTTGACAGTCACACTGACAGCAGTATATCTCTGATCGAGTAGGTAAACAGAGTTTCGATTTCCATCGAACAACCTCCACATGTAATAGGTTGTGTGGATGGATCCAGTCGAGGAGAACGTTATTCCCTGGGGACTTGTGTATGTATTTCCACTTTCGCTCCCAGAATGAAGAAGTAACATCTCGACCTAAGAAATTAATAAATAAGAGTCAAAAAATCGTGAAAATATATTTTACTAAATGCAAAGTAATTAATCCTGAATGAAGAATCCAAAATCCACTGTCAACATTTTAATGTAGAGTTAGTCGGAMCACCAAACCTAAGAAGAAATGCCAGCCATGGAGTTGATATTTTGTGGACTCATACACACGATTGCGGAAGGAATCGGACGTTTTATAGATTGATTTTCGAGAAAAAAAAAGTTAAGAAAAACACTATTGAGTTAGATATGTTGAAAAAGAAAACGATTAAATACAAAGGGATAAGGTTGAAGAATCCGAGTGCGAGAGCACTAAGACGGAGACATCTGGCSAGAGATGGTGACGATAGTCTAGAATTACTTGACAGGTATCGTGCTTGTCGTTTGTACTATACCTGATTGACTCTCAATGTTTTTGGCGCTTTATTGTTGTTATCTACTTTAAGTGTGCGATGACCTCTGTAAGTAGAATTGCGTCCCTTTTCTATGAAAACAGTCCCTGCTGCACCAAACTCGTGATATCCATAGCCACCAGCAGCCTCTAATTGACCGTCAAAATGACCCTCCCTATAATACACAGCGATGCGTCCACCAGCACCACCCCCGCCTCCACGAGTCGMATGACTATATCCGGMGCCACCATTTACCTAAGCAACAGATGATAAAATGTTATGAGCTTCATTGAGTATCATTGTATAACCTAGTTGTTATATAATGCTATACACTAAAAGAGATTGCATTGATTGCTGATTATAATGTTTCATTTATGTTTAACTCGCTGAAATTCATTTCTTGCCAACTTTAAAAATTAAAGAGTTTTCTTGTTTAACGCGGACCTTACAGGCTTCCGGCGGTGCGACTTACTATTAAAGAGCAATAATCACAGTCAAATCTGACACTTCAAGAAGAAAAAGGAAAGATCAATATAGAATAGTACTCTAAAGTGAATTCACGCTTTAATGAAAAAATTTATCATGCCGATATGTTAAAATAAATTACTACACTCATCAAATGATCAGCAATAAATAGCGTATTGCAACAAACCTGCACCAACCCACTGCCTTCAAGCTTATCTGTTTTGATCAGAATACTGCCTCCACTTCCACCACCAGCGTAAGCACCACCATACTGATCACCATTAGCACGAATAGTACCTTCAATGTCCAGCGTATCATTAACATAAAGGACAAAAACACCACCACCACGACCTCCAGGGGCAGTAGGAGAGCCTGAACCACCACTACTTCCTAAAGAAAAACAATCGAAACTCAATGTGCTGCATGTAATGTACGTAGCTACTTTGTTTCCATTTTTACTCGGCACAATTTATTTACATGATGATAAAAAACCAAAGAAGCGAGCCCTAACACTTTTTCATTTTGGCTAGTACTTTTTTCGTGTCTTTGCGACATTATTTATAAAAGGATTGAATAACGGAGACAGCAAAATGCCAATTTGACTACTAAAGTAGTATTTAGGTTGGCCCGAGACATGGCAACTATGATGATGATGATAATTCAGTGATGAAAAAGGTTTGAAAAAAAGGAAATGAATCTCAGCAATAGACATCAAATTCGGAATATGTTACCAAAATCCACGGGCTCTTTAAAAGATCCATAAGAAGCTCCCGAAGAAGGAACCATCGGTGCTCGACCGCCTCTACCACCATGGCCGCCGCCACCACCCCCTGAGGAACCTGGATTGGGAAAAGGTAATCCAGGACCTTTTCCTGTTGAAAGAATATCGAAAATCGCATGGTTGCCATTATTTAACCTTATGGTCAGGTAATGGATTCCTTTAGGGTTTTGTAAAACAACTAAGAGCATTGACTTCACAAAAGGAAGCTGCTAAATTATTCTGGAAGTAGTATATGATCTCATGCTACTATCACGCAAGGTTATACCAATTCCTGGACAATTCACAATACCATTCCTAGAGTTCAAGTATAGCGATGAAGTTTCCCAAACGACCGAACGCCGTTATTTCGAAGAATTGTGGAAGCAGACGTTGGGAAAGGCGAGGGCTTTAACTGTTGTCAACAAACTTTTGCATTAAGTTTCGTAAAAGAAACATTCAATGAAGCCAGTGGGTCGATATAATCCGCTAAAGCTTGTTAATGCTGATGAGGTGAAGAGTTTTACAGTCGTTCGGGAATCGTCATCGCTTGAGAATAAACAGCCAAAGTGAATTGGGGCAAGGTAATTAAACATTCCTCTTCACTGACTCCAGCTAAATTTACGGCCAAAATAATGCTAAATGTTTGTAAAATCGACTCAATGTTAAATTAATTGGTAATTTACCGTCGTGTTTGAAGTTCTGTCCTTTCAGAGAAGCTTCGAGTGTTCCGAGTGCATCGATTGTCATGTTCTTTGTGTAGAAATGAAGATTGATTGCAGAAAGCAGCCCTCCACCTTGAATATGCACGGACTCACCACGGAATTCACGAATTCGCTCTTGATTGGTGACGGTCATCACACCACGATCACGAATACTGATGGATCGGTAGAAGAAGGTCTATAATAACAGAAAGCATGCATGAAAAAGTAATGAAGGGCAATCTCCAAGTACTCAAAGTAATGGTCCCGGCAATGCAATTCATGCATAAGATCGACGATATCGGGAAACGTTACTTACACGAGTGGGCTGCTTCATTTTGTTATACATTTCTTTCATGTGAATGGCACCTCCATCCAAAACCGTAATGTTTTCGCATCGAATCAAAACACCATCAACTTCTACTGTTACACCAGCCACAAAGAGTTCGCCTTGCATGGTCGTGAGACCGCCCTGATATATTACCATGTCCATAGGCAAGTAGGACTGTAGGGACAGGAATTGCTGATTATAGCCAATATGAAGTCTTCCCTTCTTGTCTCCCTCCATACGACCTACGTAGAAGGAAAAAAAGTAACGCTTGCAAAAAAAAGAAATAGAGAAAAAATAATTCAATACATCGAGTGCACTCATCAAACAGTTACAAATGCAACTGACCTATGACAATAGATATCTTCTTCTTTGTAGCTAAGGGTTTGATAAAAGCTATTTGCGCACCGCCATACACATGAAGTTCATCTAGCTCTACATCACTTTCATTTATTCTTAAGATCTTATCCTCTAAGGTCAGCCAGACACGAGTAGGAGCACTGGTGGAAAAATCCTGATATGAAGAACTCAGGTTTGCAGCTGGGTTTCGTGGAAGACGGTCATGTGCATTAATGTACAAAGTTCTATATGAATTAACCAAATTATTTTAATTAATACAGGCGATCAAATCATTATCTGAGTTGGATCATGGAGTAGAATTTCTTTATTACAAGTACCCTAATAAATAGAGATCTTAGAACCGAGGAAATACAGCTCTTTCATGAATTTTGGCCATACACATAAACAATTATTATTCCATTGATTACTCCAATCATTATATAAATTTTTAATACTGTCATAACGAAAGAAAAAGCTCTACTAAAACTGACCTATTTTGCTTCCATTGGCTGGTGTTTAGTACCTCATTCTCAAGCTGTACTAGTCTATCAGCATGTGCTGCATCGTCGATGCGATCATGGCCATATGTTGCATTAAAACCAGGAACACTTTCAAGGTAAACCGTGCCCGGACCTCCAGGCTCGTACTTACTTGAACCCCCTGTCGCAAAGAATTTGCCAAGGAAATGGTTCTCTCTGTAGAAGATAGCAATACGACCTGCACCTCCGCCCCCTCCATAGTAGGAAGTAGAGCTGTCTCCAGAACCCCCGGAAACATCTATGGTTCCATCGCCGTGCAATCTTGAGGCGTAGACTAACACACCACCACCACTACCACCGCCGCTCCGACTGGACACTCCTTTTCCACCACAGGAAGAAAGAGTACCATCGACTTCAAGAGTATCATGGGCAATGACTTCTATTCTTCCCCCACCACGCCCGCCAATAAATGGATACACATAGGCACCACCAGTACTACCGTAGTCTTTAGGAACTTTATACCGTCCATACGATGTCCCTACTTTTCCTTGATATGCTGATTGCCCACCATGACCCCCATACCCTGCACCCGACCCACCTGACGTGTGTCCCCAGCCGTCACCATAATAGCGTGAGGAGTGTTTGGGTGCTAAGGCATTACCAGTAAGAAATGCGTAAGGTTCTATCGTGATATTTTTGTAATCAAGTCTAAGATTATTTGCTTCAAGCTGTGGATATAAACAAAAAAATAAAAATAATGCAACACTTGTATGTGTTGTCATTAGTCGTTGTAATGCGCAGTGAGCCGATTTTTTTAAATGCGAATTACATGACGCTTGCATTTTACCGTAGCCGTCAATCTAAAGTTATCTGTTATTACCTTTCCTCCGCCGCGTACGTTAAGTGTCTTTCCCCTTATTGAAACAACTTCTTTGTCTTCACGATCGATTGCTAAATATCCGTGAGTCTGCACCACTACGTGATTGTACGTGAAGTTTGTTTCGGTTGAGTTGTTGACGATAAACTTACAGTATGGACCAACAGTTAAATTCTGCATTTTCTCCATTGTCCCTCTCATAATTACTTCAACATTACGACAGTTAGTAAACTCAGGCAATGCCACATTGGCAGTTTTTTGGACAAGAAGGGAAAATGGAAGATGTCCTTCAGATGCTCTCATGTTGAGCCGTTGTGACGGGCGTACAGTCAGTAAACCTGTCCCATCTCCCTTGATTTTATCAACATGAACTTTGACGTTGTTCCCACTGAAACCAAGACTTCCACCGCCACCAATTCGAAGCTAAACAAAATGCAATTTAATAAGCACAAGATGGAATATATTCGAGGGCAAAAAAGGGATAACTTCACATGTAAAATAACACACTTCGCTCGCTCGTGAAACATAAATGGAACACCTATTACAAATAAATTCCGTATCTCCGCGCGCCCATTTAAAATCCTCTATATAATCACAGATTATTTCAGTGTATTCTAGTTCATTGAACACTTAACTTTTTTATGATTTGTAACATAATCTGATAGGAAGTTGGGAATGTCTGGATTATTTAATACTGTTCAAATAGCTCTAAAATAACATACAAGAAAAGAATAAGGTATTCGCCTTTTTTCTCTTGCAGAGCGAAGGAAACTTCTTTGAAATTAAGAGAGCTATTCAAATTTACCAGAGTTCCCTAAAATTTCCAATGTAGATAAACCCGCTTATAATACTGTTTATTATAACTGGTATTTGCCTAAAAAGTAATTACTGCTGCATAAACTTATAACAATATTTACTTTCTGCTATTTCGTTGATTCATTTTATCATGTTAAAGTAATCATATAATCTATATATCATTGTAATTCTTCCTTTTGTGTTTATCTTGCAATCTATTATCCTGCCCTTTTTTAACTGTTTTCATATCAATTGAATAAAACCTGTATCTGACGAATAAATAATAAAAATTGATTGATTTAATTGATTGATTGATAGCGTACCTCCTCAAATGTAAATTCTTTGGTTTTGTCTTGTTCAGCAACAATCCAAGTGGTGCTAGGAGTAGTATAATACGGGGTCTGGCTTGTTGTCAAAGGACTCTCACGAACGAAAAGTTTTATTTGCGCTATTGCTGAAAACGTGCTTAATTTCTTCAGTATAACCAATATCTGTGCAGAAAAAAAGATCAAAATTTTATTGATTCATCATTAATGATACATCGATAGTTTTTCCTCATTGTAGTCAAGGCAAAGTTCAACAATGACAGAACATTTTTTGCTAGTGCTGAAAATAATATTTATACTCAGGGAACCTGTGCCTAACTCATGACACAAAACAGTTACCTTGTTGACCATTTTCCTCACAGGTATCCTTCCCGCCTGCCCTTGCAAACACCTCTCAGTATTTATCCAGCCAGTGTTCAGAATAATGTCATCATCTTCATACACACGAACTTGGTGCTGAGAAAAATAGCTTGCACTACATGCTGGATAGATTTCAATGAATTCCAGGAACAGTGGGATTGGGAATCTGTATGTTATGACAGGAAGTGACGTGGTTGTGTAATAAAAGCCTGAGTCTTTGAAAATATTTCCCAAATAGGATGAATCGGAAGAACACAACTTGTTATCACCTGAACTAGTCCATCTGCAGTAAGGGGTTCCTGTGGTGGAGAGAGCGACTCCATTTGGCGCGGTGTAGCTTGTCAAGTAATATGGATATGTGTATGGGTTTCCCTGTAAGTTTAGCTCACTAATTTCTCCAATAAGCTGTGCTCTTTTATTGGTGACTCCATTGTCAATTCTTAAAGATCGGTGGAGTTTTGTATTGTTTCTCTGTTCCTCAACGAACACGCTACCTGCACCGCCTATCTCGGCAGAGCTACGCCCTCCATATGCTTGGTATGTACCAAGGTATGTTATAGAGCCAGTGTGGTACAATGCGACTCGTCCTCCAGCTCCACCACCACCACTCCCCGAACCATCACCTCCGTTAACTTCTATGGAGCCTTCACCATCAAAGTGATTTGTTCTAACCAATACACTACCACCAGAGCCTCCACCACCATTTGATGAGCCCTTCTCGCCGTTTGCTCGTAGCCTTCCCTCGAGTCGTAGCATATCAGACACATCTAGACGAATAACACCACCTCCACGACCACCACTACCACCCCCGCCGCTACCATACAACTCAGGCTCATACAACGTTCCATATGCTGTAGATGTGGTAAGACCTCTAGACCCGCGGCCACCTCTACCTCCATAGCTACCACCGGTCGGTCCTGAGCCATATGGCATGCCTGGTCTACCAGCACCTGGTCCTTGCTGCGAGGTGTAACCTTTATAGTCGACTTTGATTTCTCCTACAAATTCAAAAGGATCATTGATTGAATTCCTCAGAAGTTTTTGTTGAAAACTGAAACAATGCTTGAATTCGCACTTTCTGAAACTCAGTCTATGTTATAATGTCTATATAGTTTGCGATTACTTATCTCAAAATCAAAATCAAAGATATGTAAAATATTTTAGCAGACATATGTGCATGCAAAGTCTTAGCCCCGTTAAAAAATCCAAAAAATGTTTGGTTACGTAAGATAGCATTGATTAACATGACGCTGATGTCCATGTTAACCACTTTATGAATACAAACCTGAAACATCGATAGTTGTATTCACAGAAAGAACTCTGACGTCATTAGAATCTAGAAGTCCTCCACCATTTATGACAAAAAATGTTGTGTTCAGAGTCACACGCTCATTTCCAGGAAGTCCAATGGTCATGACCTTGCCACGTGACCGGATGGACATGTTAGTAAACCGAAAGTGGGCGATCTCCTCGTTAACTGATCTCCCTCCTGCCCACAAGTACAGTTCTCCATCTCTATCAATTGTGTAATCATGGGCGTCGGCTAGAGTTCCGTTGATTTCCATGTAGACATTTCTGTTGAATGATAATATTTGTTGCAATGTTGATATTAGTACAATGAATTTCTTTTAGGCATCCAAATCATAAGGATATATGAAATTACTCACTCTATTTTAGTTTGGAATTGTTTTGCACATTAATATTTATCCCAAAAAGACACGAAACTCCTATAAAAGGCACTGACATCTAAACCCTCACCTGTTATCCCTATAAACCAAAGAGTTACTAACCTCAACGAAAGTCGTGGTGGTACTTCTAGGAATCCATCATAATAAACAAGAGTGTTCATTGGATAGTACAAGTCGACAAAGTCAAAAGCAACGAACTGATAGCGTCCAACATGAAATACACCACTTCTGTCACCAACAAGAACACTGGAACGAAATGTTACGTTTTCCTGACAGCCATTACCATACAAAACAACGTGAGAGTTACCATGGAGGTGAAATTCATTTAGAGTGTAGTTGTTTGACTCATGCAGCCATGTTACTCCTCCAACGTACCTAGAAGAACAGATTGACAACACTTTGGTACAACTATTTTTGGCTTTCACTCACGTACAGTTATTTAGCGTGGCACCCGAAATGACTTTCCTAAATTACTTGATATATTGATATATACATACGAGCTTAAAATGCTCTTACAATTACACATTTAAGTCCAATTTGAAGGAATTAGCGCGCATGATTGACGAACGATTTTGGTAAGAATGTACGCGGTATACACTAGTGTTCCATTTTGGCACAACAAGATGGCACCAGGAGTTCAAAATCATTCAATGCGTACAATTGTTTATACCAACAAACGTTTTTAAAGCATTACCAATCGCGCCAAAAGACCTGCATAGTAAATACCTTATGTCATTGTAAATCCCTTTGAGTAGATGCCTAAGGCGACCATCGTTCTTATTAATTGCCCATGGGTATGCCATACCATAGTTGTTGACCTTTAGAATCCTGTACTTAACATCGCTACTTGAATTCCAGCGCTCGAGATACACCGTTCCTGATGAACCAGGCTCTACCTTACTATCGCCTCCTTTAGCTGATAAAGTACCGTTGAAGTTTATCATAGTTTTATGATATATTGCAATTCTCCCACCTGATCCACCACCACCACTAGGTGACCCATCGCCACCATTAACAGACATCTTTCCATATCCACTTAGATCGTCACAGTGAACCCAAATGCTTCCACCACTCCCTCCACCTGCTGTACTCGGAGGTGGCCCGTTCTCGCCGTCTGCAGTTAGCTGTCCATCAAGGATAAAGTGACGACTGTCGATTTTTAAAGCTCCTCCTCCTTGTCCTCCAAGTCCAGCCCGAGTAACTTGGTTAGCATGGTTGGTAGTAGCACTGGTCCGATAATCTCCATAGTACAACTCACCTATTGGCACAGCACAGATTAATGCGATCAATTGTTGTTTTGTCCCAAAACACTTATGTTACATGATATGTGAACACTTTTTAGTGTTCTGAGTTTTTTCTGATTAGTGAAGTCAAACCGTCCTACATATTTCAGGGAAAAATCTACAAACTTAAAGGCTTAAATTTACCATAATGCAGCCCAAATCCTCCAGCGCTTCCATACGTCCAAGGCTCGTAGAGAGAACCATAAAATCGTCCCACATGGTTAACTGCACTTCCTCTACCACCAGTACCAGAATGCCCGGCGCCACTTCCACCACCAACATCGCCGTACCCTTGTCCGGGGCCTTCAGAAGGCTCAAACTTATTCCCTGTCCTCGATTCTTTTGTTTTGTAACCAGCATGATTATGACTTAATGTTCCACCAGAATAGATTGCAAGGAGATGTGAAACTGAAATGTTCAGTCGACCATTGGACTTCAAATGACCTCCACCATAAATCTATTTGAGAACAATTTTAACATTTTTTTCCGTTATTACTCTGAGCTGTACGTACATGTACAGCTGTACGTATTGAATTCAAAACACCAGAGATATAAAAATATAATTTCGGGACATTTCACGATATCTTGAATACATATTTTACTACAACTACCATTTTAAATACATTTTGTACTTACAGTCAGATTAGTGAGAGATAGGCGAGTATTGAGGTTTTTGTCAAAGGAATGCAGTTCAAGGGTACCAGCATCTTGTACATGCAAGGTACTTAGTTTGTATTGTCCTGGTAAGGTGCTGTTGCCGATGCTTGAATTAGAGTCGCAAAAGAAATATCCTCCATCATAAACAAACAAATCGTCGATACCCGATACCTAGGAGGCAAACAAATAAATGTGTCAAATATTGTCTTATGTCAATGAGAACGGAGATTGTATGACAGATAGGGACTGTGGTTGCTTTGTTTGACATTGACTTGCCACACATGCTTTCTTTCGACAATTGTCATGTTATGAGATATGCATATTCAATAACCGCGATTACATCTATTGATTATGTTTATTGATGATTGAGATGATTGTTGGGTTCAACGTTGGCTCACCTTTCCAGAAGATCGGAAGCTGACATTCTGGAGAAATGCTCTCCTTGGCATGTTAATGGAACCATTCTCATAAACCCTCAAACCAAAGGGAATATCAGGATCTGTAACTTCAACTGAAACAAACTGATTGTAACCAACATGAAGGAAACTCGACTTGTCACCATAAAGTCTACCAATACGAACACTAACTGGTGCTGTAAGGGAATGCATTCCCACTGTTGCTAACTGAGCAGAACCATGGATGTGGACCTCGTCAAAGTTATAGTTATTTGTTCCAGTCTCTGGTTCGATCCAGGTTTTCGAGCTGTCTAAACTACGATAAGCGTACCTAAAAGACAATTATATACTGCGTTTATTGATTGAACTCCTGGAATTGGGCTTAAGGTTTCCAAATCTCAAATCGCGCGATATTTATTTTTGCAAATAAAGCCTGGTTTTCTAGAAATTATAGAAGTAGAAAATGCCATAAAAGTAGAAGAATCGGAAAACACGAAGGAATGAATTCAAGCATCACGTTAATTTTGTTTTTAGGTCGTGGTAGGCAGTGAAGAACCACGTTTATTGACTTGCGAATGAGATATAGAGATATTTCGTAGATAATAAGAAAGCCCTCTAGTATTGATCATTTCTTTAGAAGGGGTTTAGTCAGTGGTTCTCTGGTTCTCATCCATTACTTAAATGGTGACAAAAATTACAGAAAATTACCTTTCATAGACTTCCTGGCCACTTTCATAAAGCTCAATCTCGGACAATCCAGCATATGAACCGGCACCGTTTAGTTCTATTGTTACTCGGGTAGCGTTCCTACGCATGGGGAGGTCAATGTAAGAGCCCTGAATACATCCATTTGACATCTTAACAAAGTTCGATGTAACTGGAAGTGATGTTCTCCCATCGTACGACGACACCTGTGGAAAATTGGTGGATTGAAAAGACCAAAGTTTATGTGTGTTCATTGTAATCTAATGTGAACTCAACACGACAAAAAACACTTTCCCTTTAACCATTTTTCAGATTTTTCACCGATAACTCGTCCCTCATTCAAAGCAAATCAATCATTTGAATCAACGTAATTAAAGACATTTCTTACGTTACACTTACCTTGAAATCAGTTCGATGACTGCACAAAGGGTATATCCTTATATTGTTAATGAACGTAGACTTCTTTATATCGAAGTTTAAATGGGCAGATTTACATGAGCTCAGAAATACATGGCACGAATCTGTAGAGTACGTCTGGTCAAACAAATGAGCAAGAGAGAACATCTGACACGATCGACACGTACTGCAAGGATGAAGAAAACATCCTGTTCGCACATTTACACCATTAGCAGCTGTATAAGACATTCCTCGGTCTAAATTTCCTCCTGCTAAATTAACTCTTCTTCCTTCATGGGGAATATCGTCACTTGAGGATTTCTGACCTTTGTTATCAGCTTTTAGCACTGAATAATTGTTATCAGTGTGTTTCAAGTAAACAGTTCCAGACGAACCCGGTTCTCCTCCCTTTGTAGAAGAGCCGCCTTGCACTTCAATCTTACCGCGATAGGGATAGTGAGTTTCTTTGTTGTTGTAATAAACAGCTATTCTGCCTCCCGAACCTCCTCCAGAACCAGGACTTCCATGGCCACCAATTGCTTGAATAGTTCCAGTATGACTTCCAGAGAATACTCCGGTTTGAATATAAATACTTCCACCACTGCTACCGCCGCTGTTAGAATTTACGTCTTGAGCATTGGCTAGTATTTCCCCGTCCACCTAATAAAATAGTAATAACAAATGAATTTCCGCAAAGTTGGCCGATTCCTCATGTAGATGTGTCTTAATGACGCCATAGAAAATGCATTCCATATGTTGTATCAAACAATCAACCAGACATAGAGGATATTACATGGGCGCGCGGAGATACGGATTTTATCTTCGAGTGTTGAAAAGATATATCACGAGTGAGAGTAGCGTATCTTCAAGCGACCATGTAATATTCTGTTTATCATATAATTACATATGAAAGCAAATTATGTCATAAAATACCTTTTTTTTCTTACTTCCGATATATAGAGAAACCTCGAATGTGTTATTTTCATTAGTGAAAATATCAACTTTACGAAATGGAGAAATAGGTATTGTATAGATAATTGTATGATAAATAATAATATTATGATGATATTTTGTTGATCATATAAGATGACACTCTAACCGCAAGAGAACCAACGTCATCCATGTTTTCTGAATTTACGTAAGTTATTTCAACTTTACCTTTAAAGCTATTTCTACTGTTATATTCATTATCCCGCCACCTGAACCACCAGTTCCACTGTTACCACCACTTCCGAATTCGTTTGGATAAAATATGTTTCCGTAAGCCATTCCTTTTTTCAGTCGGCACGTGTTGATCCTAATAGTGTTATCACATGCAGCTCGACCACCAGCCCCACCATGCCCTGCACCACTTGCTCTCCAAGGCACCATAGAGACACTACCTCGACCTTTTGTTGCAAGGTATCCCCCGTAACGCCCATCTAAAAGACCACCGTCATCGACAGTCATATTAACAGCGTTAATTCGCATGTGTTTGGATCTAACAGTTGCTCCACCTTCCACCAGTAAAATCTTGGCTTGTAAGCTATAGTAATCAGGATGAGCATTTGGCATGTAGGTTTCAATCTTTGAATATGCCATGATACGAAGCGTCTCGTTGAATGCATACGTTCGTGAAGGCTCACTGGCTGTAGAACCGGTCAAAAAGCAATGCAGAATCCCACCGTTCAGTATTGTAAGATTCCTGATATTTGCTAGGGTTCCTTCAACGTATAGATTTATACCGTTCAATTCAGATACATGAGCAAGACCAAGATAGCCTCCGACATAGATGTAAGCCGTAAATGGGATGTCAAGAAACTCTCGATGAAGGTCCAAATCTTGATTTTTCCTGATATGTATTGTTCCAGATCGATCACCAATCATATACGTAAAGAACATGGTAACACTACGATTGGCATTGGACTCTATGGCTAAATGTGCACCTCCATATATTTGCAATTCTTCAAAGGAGAATATGTGACTTCCATTTGCAAACTTGTGAGAACCTGACTCAGTTAAGATCCAAGCACGGCAGCCATCTTGGGAAAGATCTGAATAGTCTGTTATCTTGTGTTTTAAAGGGTGCTGTCCGCCATTATCAATTAGCAACGTTCTGTGAGTGTATACCATATGATATAGAAAGGATGTTCCTGGTCCTCCTGCCTCAGTACCGCCACCCGACCCCTTGGCTCCACCTCTCGAATAAAAATGACCCGAATAGGTTGTGTTTCGCACAAAGTACACTGCAATACGTCCACCAGCTCCACCTCCTGAAGCAGAACCACCTGTACCACCATTTACGGTAACTTTTCCCGTGCCTTTAATTGTGTAACTGTGAATCCATATACTTCCTCCACTACCACCGCCACTATTTGCATCTCCTCCCCCGAAGCCAATAGCGCTAACATCGCCATCAATTCTAACAGTTTGTGTTACATTTAACCAAAGCACGCCTCCACCGGCACCACCTAATGATCCACCGCCACAACTTCCGAACCTAACGGGCTCGTAAAGGTCTCCATAAGCGGTTCCTACTACAGCAGCACCGAAACCTCGACCAGCCCTCCCGCCATGCCCTGCACCTGATGATCCACTAGACGATGTAGTGCCAATACCTTGATTTACAATGCCGTGTAAACCCAATGAAGCTGGTGCGTGAGAAATATTATAACCAAGGCCATCAGCATGAAGGTGTCCACCATCATCTATAGTTATATTCTCAGCCAAGATCGTCAATTTCGTACACTGAAATACACCTCCACCTTCAACAAAAAGAGCGCGTAGCGACCAAAACATTCCCTGGTGAATAATGGGAGACGATAATGCTTTAATCAACCCTTGGTCTTGAACGCGCACGGCATCGAACATAAAGGTGTTATTAGTTTGGTTAACAGTTCTAGCCTGATCATTGATCCATAACACTCCTCCATGGTGTAATGTCAGATTCTGGATGTAAGCTAGGGTTCCCGTTAAATAGATTGTCACACCATGGATTTCTGTATACGGAGCAAGACCAAGATATCCATCCGCATAGACATAAGCATTAAATGGCAAGTCTATTTCATCGCGAATTAGGTCCATTACTTGGTTACGAGMGACGTGAACAGTCCCTGATCTGTCTCCAATCATGTAGCGAAAATACAAAGATGAGTTGCTATACACTGGTTTAGTGAGAACGGCTAGGTGAGCCCCACCGTATATTTGAAGTTCTTCAAAGTGGAAATCGCCTTGAGATTTTGCAAAGGGGTGTACAASAGACTGAGGAAGTATCCATGCTCTACAACCATCGCGAGATAGATCATGGTAGTCGTTAATTGCCGCGCTGATAGGTTTTTGGCCTCCATTGTTTAGAATTAAGGTTCGGTGCTGCTCATTCATATGATACAAAAACACAGTACCGGGTCCACCCGCTTCTGCTTGACAAAGATGCTCCTTGCCAACTTTACACCCATGGGCAGAGCCTCCTCTGGATTCATAGATAAACGATGTGGATGTTTTGTTCACGTTGAAGTAGATCGCTATTCTCCCACCAGCTCCTCCGCCTCCTGGAATCGAACTCGAATTAGAACCATCGCCACCATTTGTTGATATCCTGCCATAGCCCTTGATTGTGTTACAGTACATCCATACGCTGCCACCGCTGCCTCCTCCACTCCCAGTTGTTGGTCCATTTTCTCCATTTGCAGTAACAATTCCATCGATGTCTATGGTGTTTGTCACATTCATCCATAATACGCCGCCTCCATTACCACCTCTTCCATTACCCTGCCCTTTGCCTCCAACACTGCCAAACGCATCAGGTTCATAAATATCTCCATAAGCAAAGCCAGTGAATGGAGTTCCTTTTTGAAGGCTACCGCGACCTCCACTTCCACCGTGTCCTGCCCCGGATGCTCCATACGGACTGTCCATACCATGACCCTCATTGACTATGCCATACAAGCCACGACCCTTGTATCCATGTGATGTATTATATCCAAGATAATCAGCAACTAATGCGCCACCATCGTCTATTGTAATGTTCTCTGTTTTAAATATTAGCCTAGGTGCCCTTAAGAGACCACCACCTTCTATGAACACTGCACGTGTGTGGAAAGTTATTGCACGGTCGGTTTTTGGAGACATCTCTCCATGAATGATCGCAGTATCTTGAACTCGAACCGTGTCAAACTCAAACGTATGCATGTCGGCCTTGTATGTATTTCCACCATGATTAAGCCATAGCAATCCATGATGATGAAGGGTGACATTTTGGATATTTGCCAGTACACCTCGCACGATTATCTCAACGTCGTGAATGACTGTATAAAGAGCAAGCCCAAGATGACCACCACGATACACATGCGCACTAAAGGGAAGGTCAATTTCAGGTCGATAAAGGTCCATTATTTGACAGTCGCCGATGTGAATGCGGCCAGTACGGTCTCCAATCATGTAATCAAAATATAACGAGGTGTTTCTCAATTGGCTAGGCCAGACAGCAAGGTGACCTTTACCGTATATTTGCACTTCCTCAAAGTGGAAGTTTCCTTGAAGGCCAGCTAAATGATGTATTTCAGATTCTGGCATAATCCAAGCTTTTCCTCCTTCGACATTAAGTTGGTCATATTTCATATGAATATTTAAAGGACCACGCCCGTCATTGTGAATAAGAAGAGTCCGGTGATGGTAAAGGATGTGATAAAGAAAAACCGTTCCTGGTCCCCCGCTTTCTACATCTGCATTTCCAGGTACTGCTTTTCCACCGAAGGCGTTATACCTGTAAAAAGGTATAAGCTTTTTCGTCAGATACGTCTGCAGAGAAGTTGCAATCTATATTATTTAGTTTCAAGTAATATTATTTAGTTTTCAAGTAAGTCTATGTAACTGGAAGTATGAAGACTTTGCTATTATTTTTTTAATTCCTATATTTCACCATTTTATAATAGAAAATTCTGTTTTAGTTTTCTGAAATAGAACAACATTCTGAAAAGATGGGAATCCAAGCATTTTATATTTTCATTTACATTGAATTGGCTACATTGATTAATTAGCTAGACTGTTGAATAAAACTATACGTTATAGAATAGTTAAACAATCGAATAAAGATGACTTACTTAAATTGCGAAAAAGTCTCATTCTTTTGGAAGTAAACAGCTATACGACCACCAGCTCCACCTCCACCGTGATATCCATATTTGGAATCGACTGGAGAGCCTCCGCCATTGGCAGTGAACTTTCCATATCCTTTCAGAATATTACAGACAATCCATATACTACCGGCACTTCCACCTCCACCCTGACTAGAAGCATCGCCACCGTTTGCCGCAATAACACCGTCTACTTCGAGTAAGTACGTGACATTTATAAATACACGTCCACCCCCTGCACCTGTGAATTAGCGAAAAATAAACTATCGTACATTTTGTAAGATATTGTACTGTCCCATAAATTAAAACGTTATTATTACTATTTCGTTAAGTTTGATATGTATAGCAACGATAAAAAGTTGTTCTTTCTCAGAAGTCAGGGAGTTTTTGACCGGGATTTCAAAGAAAAAGAAGGACTAGAACCAGCAATATCAATGTTTGAGAATTTGGGCTGCATTCAAGTTCTCTATACTTTTTCAATATCAAGTTTGATAATATTTGCTTGCTTTAGAATTGATTGGGGGGCACAATCAGAAAATATTTTCGAACACAAGGTAAAGTGACAGAAGGTCAACTTGGTATGACGCTATGTTTAATCACATCCAACATCATGACATTTGCCAATCAACAAACTCTTTAGTTCACAAACAAAGTTCGATGGGGAATAATAAACCTCCGTAGTTCGACTAATTTTTATCCCATTTCAGACTCCTTGGAGTTTTCATTTACGGATGGGAAACAAAGAATTGTAAATCAAAGAAACCTGAAAAAGGACAAACATTAGCCAATCCCTACCCGTTTTTCCAGAGGAGCCTCCACCACTACTTCCAAATTCAGTGGGTTCGTAAAGATTACCATAGGCCTGTCCAATAACTGGATTGCTTCTACCTCTACCCCCAGTCCCACCATGACCAGCTCCAGAAGCGCCATGTGAGGATCCTGATCCAAGACCTTTATTGATTGGACCATTGACTCCAAGCCCGTTTCCGTGTCCTTTGTTGTAGCCTTGTCCAGATAATTCCAGTATACCATCAGCGTTAATGCTAATGTTCTCTGATAGAAGACGTAAGTCACTGCCAATGACTTTCCCTCCACCTTCAACATGAAGAAGCTTTGTTGTAAGGTTCATTCCTTGGTGAGTAGCAGGGTTTGACACCATACTTATTATACCCAGATATTGAACTGTGATGAAATCAAATTTGAAGTCATTCTCAGAGTGTTCGTTGCCTGTTCGAGAATTCTCATAAAGATGCACAACTCCATCATGATGCAAAGTCAGATTTTTTACATACGACAGTACTCCCTCAAGATACAAAGTAACCCCGTGCATTGTTGTTACAGGAGCAAGTCCAAGGAATCCACCACGATAGACGCGAACATTAAACGGTAAATCGATGTTTTCTCGTTGAAGGTCCATCGTTTGATTATAGCCGATGTGAATCGTTCCACTCCTATCACCAATCATGTGTCGGAAAAATATCGAAGCAGCTCGACTAGGAGGATCCGTAAGAATCGCTATATGAGCTCCACCATAGATTTGCAGTTCTTCAAAGCGGTAATTCTGATCCCCTGCCATAGCATGATCACCAGACGATGGCAAGAGCCAGGCCCGTCCAGGTGCAAGCCCGATGTCGGAATAACTATCTATTTTATGTGCTTGAGGTAGCGGTTTTCTTCCACGATTACTAATCATTAACGTTCGGTGTTTGTGTATCAAATGATAGAAAAACATAGTCCCGGCGCCTCCGCTTAATGCGCTACCTGTTCCATTCCCACCGAGAGCCTGGAACGAGCCGCTGTATGTTCGGTTACTTTTGAAGTACAAGGCCAAGCGCCCACCAGCTCCGCCACCTCCATTGTTCCCTGAACTGAAGAAAAAATTAAAATTTTACCACAATTGTGAATTGTAAATTTTTCGTGGTATGTCCTCTTATTTACTACGGTTGGCGTCATCTTATCATCAAGTGTCCCTCACGGCATTTGCTTTTATACTTAGAGATAATATCATCACTTACAATTATCAATTCTAGGTTTTCACTGATCACGTGATCAATTAGCGAAAATTTATTATTGTCCTGCAGAGAGCATCTGAATTAAAGGATCATTACGAAATGTTAAGCCAAAATAATTCTTTTTAACAGAAATACGAGCGAACGAAAATAGAAAAGAATGTATGGGATTGTCACAGCTCAATGCGTTTTAGACTGGTCAAGAAATACCTACAACTGAAGAAGCTTTTTTTAAAGATCCAAATCATTTTTTTAAGCTCAAGGACTAAAACAACAATAACTAAACGAATAAACGACAGAAAAACAAGGTTAAATATTCAGAGAGAACTTCTATCATGCTATTCAATGTATTTTAGTACTACAATGTTGTGTGTCTGTAATTTAAGATATTTTTTGCCTGATGACGCTATGTGAAAGCCAAAAATAGCTTAAAAATAAAGCTACGGGCATCATTGTAAATCTTGTGGATATTTTTCTTTTAGATGTATTCTAATACGCAAAACACTGTATCATTGTTCCCCAGTAATAACATACATTTTTCAATACAAATAACATACCTAACGTCCACAAAACCATGTCCCCCATTAACTGTGATATCACCATAGCCCTGGACTACATTTGTCTTAATCCATATACTACCTCCGCTACCCCCACCCGCGTGTATCTTTCGTGCATTTTCTCCACTTGCGCTTATCAAGCCATCGACTTTGAGGGTACCTACAATAATATCAGACTTTCGTTAAAAAAGGCATGGATTTCTATAAATATATAATCCAATCAATAAAAAACGGTTTACGCCTAACCTCTCACAGTGATGTTGACAATACCCCCTCCTCGACCACCGCCATCACCTCCGCCACTACATCCAAAGTGGGCCGGTTCATACAGGTGACCATAGGCGACGCCAACACGTGATTGGCTTGTTCCACTACCTCCGTTCCCACCATGCCCTGCTCCAGAGGAACCCGATGCTGCTTTTCCTCCTCCTGCGACACACCTTTTTGAAAATAAAATAAAATTGATAGCAGTATAAATCCATCCCATAATGTCGGTTACAATCGATGTTAGTCATTTATATTTCCAAAATTATAGGATCAACATAGAAATATCCAAATAGAAGGAGATCAACCCTAGAACTTATCTGTCCTGAAAATGGACCGATGGTCGAAAAGGTTGGTTGTAAGAATCTAGCTTATAGCGCATGGTGGAAGCATTACGTTTAATAGAACCCTGTTACTGTCACTCCATCGGTAACGTGTCAAGAGATTGTATTCTTTTAGACCTTTAAGTGAACGGCGTGTAGTTTTCAAAAGCGTTTAGTCTTAAAAGTATGTGTTTTTTGTCCTTACTTGGGGTCATGAAGGTCACCTCTCAAAGTACCAAGATCATCMACCGTCATGTTTCCAGCATCTATTATGATACGCTTCATGTGTAGATGACCACCTCCCTTGATATTGAGCTCACCGACATCAAAGGCCAATGGGTGGCTGTCTACGTCACTACCCGAGGTTACCTCACCGTCATCTGCAACAGTGAGTGAATTAAATTCGAAGACACCTTCCTTCTTTGCCTTTTCGGTGGTTCCAGTAAGCCCCAAGTACAGATGGCAGTCACGTGCTATAGTCATGTGATCAAGTCCCAAATATCCCCTAATATCAAATAGAAAATTAATTGGAAGTTTTCGAATAAGTCTATCTTCGAATAAATTTTGTGTCAAGCTTGATAGAAATGTAGAAAAGGTTAACAGTTTCAGAAATAGTCAAATAATGTGGAACATATACAGCACTTCATAGTAGATACAAGATATTCCGTCTCAATGTAAATCCGCCAGCAAACGAAATTTACTTGTTTGGTTCAGGTGTGATCAAGTAGACATGGGTCCCAGCTAGTCTAATTTTCTTTAAATGCAGTTAGCTTGGATCAATGTTCAAATCCATGTCACACCAAGTCTCTACCGTCATGCTCAACATGTTAAGTAATACCTTTTCATTGCAGAGCTCTTACAGTGCAATATTTCAATACCGGATTCATAAGAGTTTTTGAATTGGATACTACTCATTCCTCAAATAAATCATTAAAAATTATCCCAAAATTAAGCAAGTTTCATTTGGTGCCAATTTATTTTCACTACAATATGACGATTACCCTAATGCCCATAGATAACGAAAGATACCAATAAACAAAATTTTATCTTTACCTATTTGTAATTTGTATACCAAAGCACGTAAAGGTTGGCGGTAAATGAAGGTGACCATTCCGGTGTACAAACACGTTAACCTCAAATTTCTCATGATCTGCAAATTGACCAATAGCTATCTGATTTGGTCCGATATGGAGAACACCTGTTTTGTCGCCAACAAATGTATACACTTTGACTGCATGGGGCCTGAAAACAATTAAACGGTTACATTTACAATGAACCACTGAAAGAATGAAGCCATTCTAAAAATAAGCAGTGAATTGTGTCAATATATATAACCACTGACCATTTGATGTCAGGATGTAAGGCCAAATGTGCTCCTCTGATGATGTGCACCTCTTCCAATTCGTACTGTTTTCCTTGGGGAAGCAGCCACGCCCTACCACTGTCCAAGCTATGCCGCGACAAATCAGATATTTCCATTGAGTAAGGTGAACGATTATTATTGTCGAAGATCAATGTTCTATTCACAACTCCATGCTGGGTGTCCTGAGAAATAATATTAATTTATCCAATAATTTGACTGTTACACAGGAAAAACATTTTTGTGTTTGATTAGAAATTATCATTATAATTTTATAATAGCAATAGTTTTCTGTAGTTCAAGTTCAACACTGAGCTTCGGCATGGACACCGATTAGTGATCTTTAAACTCTTTAAGCTTATGTAGTTTTCCTCTCATTAATCAAGGATTAGTTCAATTTAACGATTAGTTTAGTATAACGATTAATTTTAACTACGAATATCAAAAAAAGTTAAAAGAATACAAGACTAGATGATGAGGAGGAGGAGGGTTAATTCATTACAATTACCTGCATGTATATTGATCCAGGTCCACCGTTTCGATTTCCTCCAGCGGCTCCTCCAAATGCCTGAAGGCTGCCAAACCACCATTCCCTGTCCTTCCAGTAAACGGCCATTCTCCCTCCTCCACCACCACCACCATTACCATAAGCATCCCCGCCATTGACACGAATAGTACCTGCACCCTCTAAACTACCAGTCTCGATGATAAGACTGCCTCCACTTCCTCCGCCTGAATTCGAGTTCCCAACATTGGTCGTCCCACTAACAGTGATGACACCTGTGCGTAATACACCGATAAGAAGTCAATTTATGTGAAAACGACATTTCATTGGTATAAACGTTGAGAATGTTGCCCGTTTTATTTACTATTCATCAGCGTGAAAAGACTAAAAAATAAATAAATAGCTTTATTATAGCTTTGATCTTGAACATGCAGACATTACGGAAAAGGAGAATTGTTATCACAAAAGACTTTGATCATAGAATCATGGCATTCTATGAAATACTATTTGAGTAATAAAAGATTTTTTCCGTGACTATACCGGTGAAATTGAGCGCGCGTGATGTTGGGAGAGACACGAGAAAAGTTAATACATTATCATCCTTGATATTCATAAGAAAACAACGTCATAACTTTCTAGCCGTTTTACCTTTTCGCACTGATGAAGTTTGATATACCGACCGATACGCCTGTCATTATTGTAAAAATTAACATATTGTAAAAGGTAACTATTCCAAATGTTTAGTGATGAATCCTAAGTACAACCTCAAAGTATTTGAGATTTACCTTCAACTGTCAACGCTTCTAAAGTATATATCCGTAATACTCCACCGCCTGAGCCACCCCTTCCTCCGCCACTCCCAAATGCTTGTGGCGTCTTGTAGTCCCCATATGGTGAGCCTGTATTTTGTGTAGAAGTACTTCGACCACCACGACCACCATATCCAGCACCTGTACCATAGGATAGCCCATACCCTGCACCTGGACCTTTATCTAAAATCATAACAATGGTTAGTATAAACATACTAATGGTCTATCACTCATACTGCGCTGTGATTGGCTACTCTACTAATGGTCTAATTTGTGATAATGAAAACAAATTGAAATATCCTTAAAATCAAAATGGCGGCATCTCATTAATAAATTATTTTAAGGATATTTCAATTTGTTTTCATTATTTGACCGATTAGTATGTTTATACTAAAACAATTAGACCTCTCGGCCTCGTGGACTACGAGCTAGTAGCCCATTCGGCCTCTCGGACTCGGCCTCATGGGCTATTAGCTCGTAGTCCACTCGACCTCCAGGTCTAATTGTTAATTATATTGCCAACTTGAAACAATTTTTCCTAGTCGTATGAATTTAAAAATAGCACACAACACTTGCCGAAATTGTGCATGGGTCAAAGATAGTGGAAAGGAGCATTTCAAGATTTCCCGGGTTGTCGGTAGAATTGTAAGGCAAGAAATTTTGGGGGGGGATATATAAAAAGGAACAACCAGTATTAGCTTATTAACCTGCTATGTTTCCTTGTCCATCTAGAGTCAGTATTCCGCCAGATTCCACAAGAACAGATACAGCTTTGAACCACAAAGACCGTGCTTCAATTCGTCCTCCGTTTTCAACGGTAACAAGCCCTTCGCGATAAACAGGTCCATGATCCTTTGCAACCTCTACAACCCATTGATCTGATTCGTTGTAAAGGGTACTGACAAAGACTAGTCGGCCAGACTTCTGTATTGTGATGCCTACAAATCTGAGATTGTGAGGACTGCAAAATTTGATAAGACATGTAGATGTGTTAGTATATATAAAAGTCATGGACATCATTAAATTAAAATATAAATTTAATATCGTTTTCTTACACATTTAGAAATATATAATACATAAAAAACGTCCTTAAACTTGTTTTATTATGAGTCTCGTTTGAATGCAATAACAAAAAATGACAGAAACCAATCAGAAACCGTTGAAACATCTTCTGTTGCAATTTGGTGGATGATTTTCTCATTTTGCGTCTAATTTGAATGCGCTGTATACGCAAAAGCAGAAGTTGCTTTTTGATGGCTTTGTAATAAACCGAAATATTGCTCTTCTATAAGATCTTTTATGTCTATTCAATTCTACAATTGAATATCAACTATCCGAATTTCATTTATTCTGCTATTTAAAACTGTCAGCTTGTCCTGGGTTTTGTATATGCAAAGATGCTTTCATGGATTTTCGTCTGTCGCACTACTTTCCGTGTCCGCTTATTCAAAATCAATATAATATTAAAACAACACATTGTCCAATGCCAGGCTTATACGAAGATATATCAAAATAGTTATCTTATTGTTCCGTGAAATACATATAAACAAACCTGGACTTTTCAAAGCTCACTGTGCCACCATAACCAACCATCAAGTGACCGTTATTACCAATCAGCGTACCCCATATGGCTACGTGTGAACTGCGTGTCAGAGACGGGTAAGCCAAACACTCTGCAAGTCTGAATTCCATTGTTCCATTTGGAAATACCCATGTTCCTTTGCTGTAAATCATGGGTGCCCAAGTAACATTGAATCGCTTATACTCGGACGTTCCAGTCATGTTCAGCGTCGTTGATGGAGCAACGTGTATGTAACCTGAATCGTCACCATATATGTACTGACTTACTTTGACCTCAGCACCAGTACGAGGGAATACCAAATGAGCTGCACCGTAAACTTCTACATGAGTAAAGTCGTACGTAAAGCTGTCGGATGGTGCATTAAGATACGCCACAGCTCCTGGAAACAACAGTAACAACAAATAAAATCTACGGGAACTAGGGCCTAAACTAAACAGATATAATACCACTATACACTATGTGTATTAAATTTGTTCGCTCCTATTAACTTTTCCTTGACGGTCTTTACGGATGAAAGTATTTTCTCTTCAAGATGGAAAAGCTTCATTTAATACTATTGAAAAAAAGTACCTGTCGATATGAAAAGCTGGTAATTCCCACGATCCATCGAAACCTACAAATAACAAGATGACACAGAATGACAATGATAAAAAGAGAACACAAGAAATGACCTCCACTACAACTAAATGGCGAAATGTCTTACCGACGGACTGCGGCCTCTATTGTCAACCCGAAGATTTCTCATGGCTGGTGATTTGCCATCCAGATAAACTACTCCTGGTCCTCCATTTTCTGTCGAGCTAGAACCACCGAAAGACCACGTTCTGTCACTGTGAAAGCCGCCATGGACATAGTTGACTGTTATTCGTCCTCCAGCTCCCCCGCCGCCATTACCATTACCGTTGCCTCCGTTGGCCCTTATATTTCCGGTTCCGTTGAAAGTTGTTGTTACAGCCCACAGCGATCCTCCACTACCTCCTCCTGCACTAGAAGACTGTATACAAAGTTATGTCAAAAGTGTTATATTTTGTAAGGGACACCTAAAAAGTGAAGTTCAAGGGGTTTTTTTTTTGTCAGAAAGCTTGCTTCTGTAGAAACTCGAATTTACTTCCAGCGTTAAAGACGCAATGATTTGCCTGGTTTTACAATTATAGTAATTATATTATCTTTGTTTGCAATGTTTTAGAAAGTATTACGAACATTAATAATCGCCTTTTTAAAACCTAAAACAGAGTAGACCATAAAAGTAGACGATAAAAAGCAAAACAAAATTAGCTCTATGTGAAGATCCAAGATTTTAAATCTTTAAAAAAAATACATTATACATTATATCAGCTTACCTGACCACCTTGACCGTTCATTTGGATCTCTCCATTCACAGTGAATGAATTGCTGACTTCAAACTGAAGCATGCCCCCTCCTCTACCTCCACCCACTCCACTAGCTCCATGTCCTCCACCACTTCCCCATTTCCCGATTGTAAAGATATCGCCATAAGGTCGATGCTGCGCTAGAGCTCCTGAGCCTCTTCCACCTCTGCCGCCATTACTGGCACCTGACGCTCCTGCCGTAGAGGAGACTCCAGCGCCAGTCCCACTGGCACCCAGACATCCACCAGCGTTGACGTCAATAGTACCTGATGTACCCACAATAACATCGAACGCGTTTACATACAGTGAGCCTGCCTTGAAAACCCCTTCAATTTGGAATTTGCCAGACATAAGGATTGTGGTGTTGAGAGCTCCCTTGCCAGAGCCCATAGGAGGACCTTGGTGATTTATTAAAACACGACCAGGTTGTTCCACAACAAATTGATGTCCAGAAATTGGATCTGACGGCCCCAAGGGAGACGTCGTTGTCACAGAACCACTCACTTGGGTTGATGTAATAGGCATCGGGTCGTCCGTATTGAATATTAGTATACCATTTTTTCCGAGAACGCCTAAATACTGCCATCCACTGCCTATGCTAAGATATCCAATTTGTATATAACCATAATTGGAAACTCGATCGCATAGAATTATGCTTAGATGTTTTGAAGGAATGTTCACTCTGCCTTTTGAACCAACATCAATGGTGGAAGTTTTATTTTTTGATAGTCCTTTGATTAGAATTTCATTTAAAACCTCCAGGTTTCCATTGACTAGTATTTTATCAATGTTATACCAATCGACTGGGTTAAGTTCCATTTTTCCTGTCACTGCCACTGTCAGGGATGTCATTCCAGGTTTGATAGTAAGTTTCTTAATCGTCCATTTACCAGCTATGGAAACTTGAACAGCTTTAACAATAGATATTCCATTGACAATCACACTTGCGTTTTGTGAAGTCCCGACACAACCTGAGGCACTGTTTGGCTTTGTAGCTATATCTACAGTACCTTTGACACCAACACTAATACTGGCCACTTTAGCATTAGTAACACCCTTCATTTTCACCGAGTCAAGCACCGTCAACTTTCCATCTACAGCCACATTATCAAAAGAAAACCAGTCAACAGGTTCAAATTGGAAATTTCCAGATTGCTGTACTGTTAAAGATTCCCACCCTGGTCGAATTGCCAGCTTATTGACTTGCCACGTTCCGGCAATAACAACTTTGTGAGCTTGTACTAATGATATTCCATTGTCAATGAGTTCAACCTTAGAGAAATTCAGACGATCACAAATCAGTTTATAAGGAACCTTGGATTCGATATTCACAACGGCTTTATCTGCAACTGATATGCTGAGTACTTTTACACGAGAATAGCCTTTGATTCTAATTGAATTCATTGATCGTAGATTTCCTTCAACATTGACATTGTCAAAAGAATACCAATTGACAGGATCAAACTGAAAGCGACCGGTTTTTCCAATGGTGAGACTTTCCCATCCGGGATTGATGGCTAGTTTAGGTGATAGCCATTGTCCTGCAATTGATACCCGTGTTGCTTTAACCAAAGATATCCCACGGTCTACGCATTCATTTGATGTAAAGTTTAAACAGTCATAGATACCGTGACCAGACGCCAGTGACTGTATCTGAAGAATTCCATACTGGTCAATTGTAATGGTCTGTATTTTAGGCTGTGATGTCCCTCTCATTTTGATAGAATTCAACGCTTTTAAACTTCCGTGGAGGGCAATATTGTTGAATTCAAACCAATCCACAGGTTGAAACTGAAAGATAGCTTTCCTTTGAATTGTCAAATTGCCCCAACCTGGAAGAATTGATAACTTCTTCAAAATTAATCTACCACCGATTGTCACTTTGTTTGCACGAATCAAAGATGTTCCATTTATTATCAAGTCACCTGGTGAAGGCAGACCTGCTCCTGTGCAAGATATTGCCGTGCTTGATTTAGTATCAACTAAGAAGCTACCAAAAGCACCTATTGAGAGACTCGATATTTTGACTCCAGTAAGTCCCTTCATTTTCAGTGAATTCAATGAGTGAAAACTACCATCAACTTGTACACTATCAAACGAAAACCAATCGATGGGATCAAACTCAAATTTGCCAGATTTTTGAATAACCAGAGAGCTCCATCCTGGATTAATTGATAATTTTCTGGATGTCCAAGTCCCTTCAATATTAACTTGCCTTGACCGAACACTCGAAATTCCACTTCTAACAAAGTCAAGCGTTGAGAAATTATGTCGGTCACACAAATCGATATCGGGTGCCTGATGTAAAATCTGAACAGCTCCATTTTTACCAACATTTATGAGGTTAACTTTAAGCTGAGATGTACCTTGTATCTTAATGGCATTTAGCGATTTAAAGCTTCCGTGTATAACAATGTTGTTAAAGTAAAACATGTCAACTGGATCAAATTGGAAAGTCGCCCAGTCTTGCAGTGCAAAGTCACCCCATCCTGGAAGAGTAGTCAGTTTTTTGACAATAAAACTTCCGGCAACTGTTACTCTATCTGCACGAAGTAAAGATATTCCTTTTACAATCAAACCCGATGATTGCTGAATTCCAGTTCCTGTGCACGATGAAGCGGTACTTGCTTTTGTGTCTATGGTAACTCTGCCCGTCTTTCCAACGTAAATACTTGATATCTTGACACTTGACAGTCCCTTCATTTTAATCGAGTCCAAAGCATGAAAGATACCGTCGGTGTATATATTATCAAGAGAAAACCAGTCTATTGGGTGAAACTCAAACTTGCCCGTCTTTTGAATGGATAGAGCACTCCAGCCTGGTGCAATAGACAGCTTCTTTGTCAACCATGTACCCGCTATGCTAACGGACGAAGCCTTGACCAAAGATATGCCGCTTGAAATAAAGTCAACTGATGAAAAGTTTGTTTGATCGCATATCACTTTATCCAGTGCCTGTGGCTGAATACTGACGTAGCCATACTTGCCGACTGAAATTCTGGTAATCTTTTCTTGGTTCCTCCCTTTCATTTTTATTGAGTTATAAGTAATAAACCTCCCATCAATAGTCATTCCATTGAACATAAACCAACCTACTGGATCTACTTGGAATGAGGATGACTCCCTCAAAGTGAATTTTCCCCAGCCTGGAAGACTTGTGAGCTTTTGGAAAGAAACGTCCCCAGAAATAAAAACTGTGTCAGCTCGAACAATGGATGTCTCATTAACTATGATTTCAGAGTACGAGTTGCCATTGTTGCATAACACCAGTTTCGAATCGGTTGAAACCGTAACGGAACCATGTGGCCCAACAGTCAAGGATGCTATTTTAGCTTGTGAGAATCCTTTCATCTTGATGCTCCTTAAAGCCTTGAAGGTGCCATTCACGTGAAGATCATCAAACGAAAACCAGTCTATAGGATGAAACTGGAACGATCCCGTCTGTGATACATTAAGTGCTGCCCATCCGGGACTAATCGAAAGCATCTTTGCATTCCAGCTTCCTGAAATGGTTACAAGATCAGCCTGAACAGAAGACGCTCCACTTTTAGTGATATCACGTTCCTGGAATTTGATCTTATCACACAATATACTATCGGTTGTCTTGGTTTCTAAATAAACCTTACCATACTTTCCAATTAGAAGGGTTCTGACTTTACTACTAGTCAATCCCTTAATTCTAATGGCATCTAATGCGCGTAAAGTACCGTTGACGATGACATTATCAAACGAATAGGCATCAACAGGATCAAACTGAAAACTGCCTGTATTCTTTATATCGAGATAGTTCCAGCCAGGCTGTATTGTCATTTTTGACGTCTGGAACACTCCGCTAATGGTAACTTGTTCAGCTCGCATAATGGACGTTGCATTTACAATCAAGTCACTTGCTGATAGCATACCACTGCCATTACATGCAGAAGATGACAATTTTGTTTGGACGTCAATCTTACCTCGTGCTGCGACGCTCACAATCGTTTTTGGTTTGTTGCGGCCTTTCATTTTAATAGAATTTAAAGCTTTAAACTCTCCTCTGACGTCAAAATAATCGACTGAAACCCAGTCTACAGGTTCAAATTGAAATCGTCCTGTCTCATGCACTGTGAGTGATTGAAGTCCTGACTTGATTGAGACTTTGTTCGAAACCCAACTGCCATAAACCGTAATTTTATTGGTGTAAAGCTGCGATGTTTCACTGTGTGATAAATCAGAATCGTTGAAGACTGCACGATCACAAAGAATAGTGTCTGGGTTCTTGGAAAGTATTTTCAGCAGCCCCCCTTGTGTTACCAACACTTCTGGTAGGTTTTGTTGCGATAATCCTCTTATCTTTATTGGATTCCCGGCTGTAAACGTTCCACTAACTTCAAAGTGATCCAAGGCAAACCATCCAATAGGACTCAATTCAAAAGTACCAGTACTTCGAACTACCAGACTCGTCCACCCAGACGCTATACTTAATTTAGAGACATTGAATGTTCCTTCTATAAGCACAGATCGAGCGACAACCGTGGACATGACACTTCCAAATATTTTAGCCTTTCCTTTAATGTCCAGACGACTAAATTCCAGATTTGTTTGATTAGAGCTCTGAACCACTGAAAAATCAGAACTTGGCCCGACAACCAATGCAGTACCTGTGGTATTAAGCGAACAATCAACACGAAATCGAGCGGCGTTCCCTAACGATAGCAAGCCTGAAGAAGTCATCAAATGTAAGTTCCATAGGCAGCTTGAAGGAGAACTTGGATTGTAATTTAATAGCTGAAATCCCGCTGATGGTGCAATTAATAAGTTCTGCAGTTCTATTGTCCTTGGTGAATCTCCTGAATGAATGGTAAAGGTTCCCTTGTGTTGTCCTATGTAGACATTGGGACTACCAACAAAAGAGAAACTGCCATATACATCTATGTCGCGATCTAAAGTGACATTTGGTGATCCACCTGTTATGTTAATGTTTCCATCTTTGAAAACCTTTGTGCATGGAGACAATTGTTCCTTTATACCTATAGAAGAGGCGACATACAATTTGCCTGAACCGTCATCGGTTACCTTGTTGACCTTAGCATGCACTCCCTGGCCTGTCAAAACAGCATGAGAACCTCCAGATAAAGCTATTTGGTTGAGGTCCGTAGAAATAAGAGGCACCCATGCTGCAGCACCTAAAGTAAAGAAGGGCGTATCACTACTTGATTGATGAAAAATAAAGGCAACATAGACCAAATGAAAAACGATCAACAGCCTGGGAATGAGCACCTTGATGACCGGGCAATGTTTTTAAAAATCTGTTTTCGCCATAATTTCGTTTTTAGTATCGGTCATAAGTTCCCATTCCACGTCTGAAAAGGAGGCTAAGTTTATAAATTAAAAACTATTAAATTGATTTAGTTTTAATTTCAAAAGTTAAATATCGGCAGATCTACGATTATTTGACATATATGAAAACGAGGCTGGTGAAGCCGGCCTCAATAGTAATTCTCACTCAAAAGTTTGCAATTTCAAACACCTGGAACTTATGGTCTTTAAATGTTAGTCATTGAAATTTTCTTCAGATCTTACTCATAATATGCTGACCGACCAACTGATTGATAGATTGCGATTGTCTTACCTGTTTGCTTGAATGTGTTAAAGTCTGATGATGAACTGATCTAATGAACGATATGATATGGTTAGTATCACATGATGGGATAAGACGTCATTCATGTGCCATTATAACATGTGTCATAACACATGTCGATAAACTCATTTTTTACATCCACTCTTAGTTAAACCTATTTATTTTAGTCGAAGAAAATGGTTCAGATTTTATGCTAAATTGTGAAAATTAATGGAACATCTTTGAAATTTTGGCGCGATGATAGAGTGTTGTGCCCTGAGTAAAATTTGAAGTGGAGGCACGCCTAAAAATCAGTAATTACAGTTTTACAGCCATGTAAGTAATTTTCTTTCAAAAAATCAAAAATGGCATTCGATTGTAAAGAAAAACACCACAATTAATAAGTGTGATTAGTGACACTATTTGAAAGAGTTTGCCGTTAAAAGCCACGCCCTTAATATGGTACTTGCAGTATTATAACTATGGAATATATCTTACATAATATTGACATAAAATGAGGTATTTCACTTGGGGAAGGATTTTAAATGTTGTACAATTACATGTATTTATATGCTGAAGCAGTCTTGGACAGAGACACGCCTATAAAATAGTACTTACAGTTTTATTAGACAAGGTATTTCTTAGAATTTAAAAGTAAAACGCCCAGAAGAGTGCAATTGCTTGTAATTAAAAAGTATGATTAGTCATTAGACTATTGTGAGCAATTTCAGCAAAACAGCCATGGAATTAATTTAAAATATATATTAAAAAAACATGATATTAGATTTAAAAGCAAAAGGATGGAATTAAGAGGTATGGTTAGACATACGTAAAACAGTTTGCTGTTAACATGTGTTAAGAACCACGGCAGCCCTGTTATGGTACTTGTAGAGTTTGGACTAGAGAATACCTGATTTGACTGATTTGACTGACTTGAAGATGACATATTCTTGCTGTAAAAAGTTCAAATGCTGCACAATCTTTAGTATTCATATACTGAGCAATTCCGGATATCCACTTGCAAATATTAGCAGTGTTAGAGTAGTTGATGCCTTACCGATGAAAGAGAAAGACCTAAGGACATATACACGAAGGGATCCAGTATTTTCATGAGTACTGAAATTAGCTCAATTGGGATGGAGTACGGACGATGATGATCCAGAAGTTAAAACTTACCAGCAAAGAAGAGATGAAATTACGGTGAGATCTGGATGTGAGGACCGAGATAATTTTTTGTGTGTCTTGGACAGGGTGATATTTTCGTAAGAAATACCGTAGAAATAGTAGAAATAACGTTTCACTGTAACAGGATTAACGTATTGTCAGTATAACTACAGTTTTGATGGTTGTGGCGTAGATACCGATTCCTTATTTTTCCCATTTGTCTTGAACAGGATATGGATTTTTACTTTCTAGTGTCTTAAACAGGACAGGGTTTTAGACCGCTGGCGGCACGTATCTATCCAAAACGGGGTCGAGTACCCCCCCCCCCCCCGGACCAGCTCATTCATGCAAAGACTTCACCTAGATTGTGCTGGAACGGTTCTGGGAAAGATGCTCCTGGTTTGTACGGATGCACACTCTAAGTTGCCAGAGATTGTAATCATGAAAGACACAACCACTGAGGAGACGTTGGAAACACTTTGTTCTATCTTGGCTAGAATGGGCCTTCCTGAACAGATTGTTTCTGACAATGGTCCATAGTTCACCAAAACAATTTCCGAATACATCGTTATCTACCTGTTCAATAGCAACTATATATGCTAAATCATTTTTTTTTGATCGCAGTGAGGTTGGAACTTTGTATTCTGCGCGTTTCCACATATATATTAAAATCCCTTTTCTAATAAAACTATAAGTACTAATTTATAGGCGTGTCTCCATACCAAGATTAATTCAGAATTCAAATATCTATAATTGTGCAGCATWTGAAATCCTTCACGAATCCCTCACTTTATGTCAATTTTGAAGTAAGATAAATTCCGTAGTTTTAATACTGCAAGTACCATATTAAGGGTGTGGTTTTTAACGTCAATTTCTTTCACATAGTGTCACTAATCACACTTATTAATTTTGGTGTGTTTCTTTACAATCAAATGGCATTTTTGATTTTTTGATTCCAATTTATAAATACTGATTGCATACCCTTGGTCTTTTTCCATGGTTATTAATATGGATAACCTTTGAGCGCACATTGTTTTCCTGACCACTGATATACACAGTACCAGGACCACCTGTTTCTGGGACATGTCCTTTATTAGGAAAGGTAAAATAAAAATMATCAATAATAACAGGAGAACATAGTATGTCCAAGAGGCCATTGTCTATTGGAAATAGCCAGTGTACAGTTTAGTGGCACTCATGGGACCCCTGTAGAGAGGGCCACGACACAGGATGGCTTGGAATAGCAAAATGGTTAAAGGGTAATTTTGAATTATAATTCAGCTTATTAAATTTAGTTTAATAATGAAGTAACAGCTTGAAGAGCCCTCATTGCAAGTGATATTTGTAAATTCTTGATTTTTAATTCTAACAACATTTTCCCCAAATGATTGTCCAAGTGCATAAAATTTTCAATTAATTTAGGAAACTAGTTGATTATACCTTGTATTAGTGTTGAAGAACAGCCATGTGGACTTGAGGAAGCTGAAAATGTGAAAATAAACGTTGAAAAATCACAAATTATTTATTGCTAGATATACATTTTTTATTCATAGCTAGATGCTCTGAAAGCATTTTCACAATCATGGACTTCCTGGTGACTGTGAAATTTATGTGAAAAAACTATCAGACTTTCGTTCCTTCATTCCTCCTCTTTGCTATTTATCTTATTGCCTTGCTGTTCTTTCTTTTATTCTCCTATTTCTCCATCATTTTTAACAGTCATTTCTTTGTTGTCAATTTCCAGTCAATTCCTTGATCATCAATTGTTTCACATCCATTCAACCATCAATGTATTTTCTTTTTTCCTATATTTTGAGTTCCCTGTGTTGAAAACTTAATGATTGTGCAAAAAAGGGGGAAGGGGAAGATACAGTTGCTTGGGTGTGCAGGAATTTGATCTAGCATTCTCTAAATGAAAACAATTTAAATAAATACATGTAGGTGACCATACCATCTCCAAATCCATACACGGCAACCCTTAATGCAATCCCAGAAACCCAGGTGAGTGGGTGAAACTGGACCCACTTTGTATAAATTGGGTAAACAAGGGAATTCTTCTTTGCGGTGTTGGYATCTTGATTACCAAYGAATACTCTTACTTCTGCATCCTCCTTTAAGTAAAACAAACAAAAATTGCATTTTAATTTAAATGGTTCTTTCAATTTGTGCTCATTTATGAACTTTCATGTAAGTAAATGACAAATGTGTTGCTGCCATGCAGATGTCTGCAACGTGTGTAATACACTAGTTTTCTGCTACTTTCCATCAATGTCTGTATAATATTTAATGTATACAGAGACATGCTAATACCCATCAATACGTTTTTTGGGAAGAATCTTAAAAATTTGAAAATGCGCGGTATCTCCGTGACTCTTCATCTGCAAATAAGTTGGTGTTGCACTGTGATTGGATGATTGTAAATTATAATATTATATCTATTATGTAACATGATTCTTATAAATGCGTGTGGAAATAAGAAACATTAGAGCACGAATCACTGAGTCTTTACTAGCAGAACTAAGATAATAAAGTAGGTCCATCTTTTTTATATTGCAGTTGTTATTTTTGTTTTTGCTTTTGATTTATCTGTTGCTGTTGCTGTTRCTTTGTTTAAGGGCAACTCTGATTCCCTTGATTAATAAATTAATTATTTCAGTACCTTTATTAACACTAGCATTTAACAAAGTGCAGTTGAATCTTCGTGGATTTTTTAGAATGAAGGAAAATAATGCATTATCAAACTCTTTAATAATTCATAAGGTAAACACAAAAAGGAATTTAAAATCATTGCCATGACCGTATCTTTATAGGAGCTAGAGACTTGCATACGACTTTAACTTAAATTTTCTCTTAAAGATTATACGTTTTTGGAAATTTTTTTGCGAAATATGCTTTATTACCATATGCTGGAATTTGATAAGCAAATGACAGTATAAAATATTTGCTTTGGACCTTTATGGGCACTACAACTGCTCACTTGCAGCTTGCAGTTTTATATGCCCTAAAGATCTAAAATTTTATGTAAAAAAGATAATTATTTGATTTTGGTCTATGAGATAGTATTAGTACTGTCGGGTTAACTGACAGACTACTTGCCTAAAAGTTTTAAAAAATAAATAAATGAATAATGAATTATAATCAATTTTACTGCATTGTACTGGTCTCCATGCTTTGTTAATTTTAGTAATAGATAATAATTATAATAATAATAATAATGTAAATTTATAAAGCGCTTACACAGSTCAGATCTAAGCACTGAGAAATAAAAATTTACAAAACAAAAATTACAAATTACAAACAAAAATTACAAATTAAAGGCTAGTTTGAAAAAAATAAGTTTTAAGGCAAGATTTAAAAGAGTCAATGTCAGTAATGTTTCTAAGAGAGGCAGGTAGAGAGTTCCATAATATGGGAGCAACAGAAAACGAACGATAACCACAGGACTTCAGATTGTATGATTTTACAGACAGCAACACTTGAGACGACRAACGAAGTTTTCGGGCAGGACAGTATCTTTGAGCAAGTTCTTGAATGGATATAAATGGGAGCAGTAGAATTTAGAGCTTTGAAGACCAGAGGAAGAATTTTAAATGTTATTCTATTATTTTTTAGTGTGTAAAAAATGTAATATAGTTTGTTAATAAATGCAAAAATCACTCAACTAGCACCAAATCATTTTTTGCTGTGCAGTTGATGCATGGATTTCTACATAAGCAAGTCATCTCTTCTCAACTTCTTACATAGCAATTATGTACTAATTATATTCTTGTAAGAGAAGTTGAACAATTTTTGTTGCAATTACCAAACCTTCATATTGTAATTACCTTGTAGTATTGAAATCCCAATTCTTGTCTGTAGCCATCCATGAACTTCAAGTTATATGTAGTAACAAACTCACTTCCTCCATATCGCCCTTGAGTAGCAACAGCTGTCACATAATACAGGCCTGAAAGTGTCACCTAGTAACATTAAGTAGTATGCATATTAATTATAATTATATCAAATGACATTGAAATGATTTTAATTCCGATGAAGGAAAACATCATTTTAGGAAACCCAAGTTTTGGATTAAGGAAACGAGTCTGGAGTTTGAATACAATCTCCAGACTTTAATTCAAAGTCGTAATCATGTAATAATGGTGGTATTTACRAGCGCTGTAAGTCCCTTGAGGCCTTCAATCCTTCATTAATAGATGGTTTCAAGTTTTTGATGTAATTGGCCTCAAGGAACTCCAAGCATGACCAAATGTCGCTACAGTCGATAACCTCAAAGTTCCCTTATAGAACTGCATTAGAAATGGAGGTCAATAATCATWCAATGTACCTGGTATTTCAAAGCAAAGAATCATGGATAGAAAATAAAACCTCCAAACAAAGAAATGTATAAAGAGTGAATAAAATAAAATAAAAAGCCAGGACGAAACAAGGTATTTCTTGCTATTTTTTCCCTTTCTTGTTTATGCTTTCAAAGAAACAATTAGCATTCAGTAGCAAGTGATACAATGGTGGACAATCTCAGATTAGTTTTCACTGTGGAGAGGAAGACAACTAAARAACTCGATTTATACATGGATTTGTCAGTACCTGCAGAAACTCTGACTGTTGGCTKCTACTTGGAACCCACCCACCTCTGTTACTTTGATAGTTAAGAACACCAGTAGATGGGGAATTGAGATAGCAAGTGTAGTACCAGCCACTTCTGTAACACCTTCTGTTGTTCCATCYACATGTATAGTAGTACCCACTTCGCCAACATTTACTAGGTAACTGACTTGAAGCCGTTAAGCTAGATGTTTGAAGCTTTTGTACCTCATTAACTATTTGATAAAATAAAGATTCAAGAAGGAGTTTCRAGAATGCACTGACATTAAGTCGCTGAGTCAGATTATATTTCATATTAAAAAACTGGTCATTAGGAACAGCAAGTGGGGCTTAATAAAAAACTGCTATTAAATAGGACGTCAAGCACTGTAAAGCCTGGCTCATCACTAAAGCCTGGATTATCACTAAGCCTGGGTTATCTAAGCCTGGTTCATCACTAAGTCTGGGTTATCATACTAGGCCTGTGCCTGGATTATCACTAAGCCTGGGTTATCACTAAGGCTGGTTCATCACTAAGCCTGGGATATCATACTAAGTCTGGGTTATCATACTAGGCCTGTGCCTGGATTATCACTAAGCCTGGGTTATCACTAAGGCTGGTTCATCACTAAGCCTGG